GATGGTCTTCGATTTGTTCTCAGCATCTAAGATGTGGGAAAGTCTCTTATAGAGCCCTGGGTGTGAAGACACATTTAGAATGAAGCTGCCTGAGAAGCATTTGTAATATACTAAGATTTTAAGACACAAGCAGTGTTAGATCACATTGCCTACATTTCTCATGGCAGTCAAACATGAATAGCTAGGCTAATGCATATTTTCTGTACCCTTATCATATTCTGTTTGCCCAGTGGTTTTTGTTGCACTGTTTGTGGTTATGTATGGATATTTCTTAGAGCTAAATGTGCATCTTTTGAGAAAGGCAGATCTTGCCTTATCTACAGCCAATGTAAATTCTTTCAGAATGGCTTACATCTTTCTTCCCCAAGCCCATTGTATAAGAAGCTCCATCAGCTCCAGGTCAGCGGCCGTGTTAGTCTCCTCCACCTAGCCCTGCTGCTGGTGGTTTAGACCATATGCCCCAGGACTTGGTCATGTATTGCTCAGTAAACCCTTTCTTTCAGAAAAGCTTTTGGCCTGGAAGGTTTTTGTTTAAGAGTGTATGTCAACTAAAAATTAAATATACTGCAAGTGTTATAAGTTCATTACTCAAAATAACATTTTTACTTCTTCTCATTCTTACCATTTCTCTACCTCAATTTCTATGTTCATAGCTTTATCATCTTTAGGTCAACTATTGTTTGCTGCCTTAAATCTATTTGGGAACTGCTTCAAATCCATTTGGAGCCAAAGAGAGGATGAATTATAAATAAATACTGTATTCAGAGATGGGTGTAGACAATGTGGATGGAGTTGCATAGACATATCAATGAGACCTTTGGCCAATGAAACTGTTGGCTCTCAGCGCCCAATACTGCCACCGACTCATATGGCGCCCCTTGGGGGTAGGCTGAGCGCCTCCTAAGCCATGTGGATTTTGTTTTTTTTTTTTTTTTGCTAATACAAATCCTGCTTCAAAATTTAAGTATTGTTAATGACTGATTAGAACTGAATAAAAATACAACCTGATGTGTCGGCTAAGGGAGGCGAAAATATCAAACACTCCTGGAGAGAAGAAGTCGAGCGTTCACTCCTCCTGGTCTTGTCTCCTTTCCTCGTAATTGTTTTTTTTTTTTTTTTTTTTTTTCTGATTCAGCAGAAGAGGAATCCAGACTGTGGGGCTCTCGTTTCTGTCATACACTTACATATGTTGTCTGTGTTTACATGTTTATTTTATCGATATTTTCAGATCACAAAAGTAATAGGTTTTAAAAAAATAAAAGTTGTTAACAATCCAGGAGTATATAAAGTAAAAAAAAAAAAAATCGCTTTGGCATGAATCCTCTTGGACTCATTTGCTGTGCATCTCCAAGTATGTAAGTGTATACACATATATGTACACACTTAAACAATGGAATCACTGTACATATTGTTCTGTTATTTGTCGTTTCTACTTGGTGCATCATGGACATCTGCCATCCCAGCACTTTCAGATTTTCCTCTTTTTTAAAAACACCTACAAGGTATTCCACGAGTGTGTCTTTATGTAATCACTCTCTTACTAATGGGCATTTAGGTTGGCTTAGCTTTTTCAGTAATAAACATGGCTGTAAGTGAGCAGCCTCACACTTGTGGCTTTGCCCTGGGTTCTGGTCCTTCTCAAGGATCCCTTCCTGGAAGTAGGGATGCTGAGTAGAAGGGTGTGTGAGCTCTAGACTTAGGAGCTGGTAACCCTGTATCCCAGTCAGATATGTCCATAATGCACAGTCAGAATGTGAACACTGGCCCGACTCAGATGCGAGCATCTTATGTGCTGTTTTCTGTTTCCACGAGGCGGGCAGAGCAGCATGCAGCCCAGAGCCGCGTGCCTAGATAGACCTCATTGGTGGGCATGCTGCTCCTCCCAGCTGCCTCTTCCGGTTCCGATTTACGCAGGTAACAATGTTTAAATCTTGACTTTTGCTTCAATCCCGATGTATTCACAGAGAACATGTCAAGCCTGCTCCTTGGATAAAGGCAGCCTTGGTTTTCTTTCCCACTCTCTAACCCCTTTCATTTGTTTTTCTTCTTGGTCTTCTCTTAATCTTTCGACTTTAAATTGCTGACGAGATCACAAGATCAGCTGTCTTTGAGAAAGACTCTCACTGACTTTGTTTAGTTTGGTCAGTTTTGTGACTCCTTCCTCTTGAGCCCCTTCCTGGCCAAACTGCCTTGGCCAAGGACCCTTTCCAGGTGTACCGCAGACCTGGATTCAGCACTGACAGCTTCCCAAGGTTTCGTTGAGGCAGGAAATGAATCACATACCAGGAGGTAGCGAGTGAGGCCAGCTGACCACTGGGCACATTTGTGACTTCATTGCCTTCTACTCCTCCATGTTCAGCAACAACTTAATGTTAAGGGGCTGAACAAGTCACTTAAATTTTCCAGTTTTAACTTACCAGGTTTTAATATCGGGCTCTGACGTGTCGTAGGGCACGGGCTGTTTCTGTCAGATGCATGGCTCAGGTCATTCTCCCTCCACTTATCTCCTGTCTGCTCACCACTCTCTTCCTCGCCATGGTGACTGTCACTAATCCATTGTGCCCCTTTCCCACAGAGCCAGACAAGCCCGCGAGATCTTTCTTAAGCACTCCAGGCAGCAGTTTCTACTGCAGTGATCCTCAACCTTTTTTTTTTTTTTTTTTGGTATTCATATATATTTTTTAATTAATTAATTTTTTTATGGTGACATTGGTTAACAAAATCTAGTAAGTTTCAGGTGTCCAATTTAACAGTAAGGCGTATATATATTGCATTGTGTGTTCACCTCCCATAGTTAGATTTCTTTCTGTCAACACATATTTGATCCCTTTTACCCCATCTACCTCCTTCTTCCCCACTCCTCGACCCGCTGGTAACCATTAGTTCATTATATATGTCCACGAGTCTGTTTGTCATGTTCGTTTGTTGCTTTTAGGTTTATATCCCACATATAAGTGATATCATGTGGTTTTCAACTTTTTCAGTCTGGCTTATTTTGCTTACCATGATTATCTCAAGGTCCACGCATGTTGTCGCAAATGGCAGTATTTCCGAGCTGATCGAGAAGGGAGGGTTTCAGTGCTGAGACGCCCAGTTGGAAGAATGCACAGGGGGCCAACATGAGAACGAAACGGCAGGCACCAGCTTTCTTTCGGGGAGCGCCGTTCTATCGCGGGGAACATGCTTCTGCTCCTGCTTCTCTTCTGCTCCCCTTCTGCTCCCCAGGGGTCCGCACAGGCTCTGCATGTATCAGAGTGCAATAGTGGCATTCAGCCACACGTGCGTGATACAATAAGATGAATTACGTTTACATATTTTAGGTGCAGATGCCCTAATACACTAAATCCAGGGTTCTATTCCTAGCTGTGAGCCTGGATCACAGCCAGACCTGGGGGGATCTGAGGGGACCCACCAGGCCTGGGACTCACTGAGTAATATTCCATTGTACCACAGCTTCTTTAGCCAGTCATCTATCATAGGATACTTCGGTTGCTTCCATGTCCTGGCCACTATGCATAACGCGGCTATGAACATTGGTGTGCAATTATCTTTTC